AAAATGTGAAATAGTTCAGTTAATAGTGGTTAAAGGACATTTAAATGAAAATGGAACCTCATGAGTTAAACCTTTGACGTGGAATGGATTAAAAGAAATAATGTCTATCTTAACCTAACTAATAAGCATGTTGCAAAACATACACTTAAATCATGTGATATTGGGATCTGTTTATAACCAGGATTTACAGAGTATTTTTACGTATATTTACTAGAACAATGCGTTTGTTCCCATTTCATAGATTTTTAAAAATGTGGCTAAGGGTCAAACAGTCAAGTCAAACCTGGTCCGTAAGGCCACTGTTCTTTCAGCTGTATGGGGCAGCTACCAGTTGAACCCCAAGTCACGCTTACATTCACATGAGTTTTCCAGTGACATATTGTCTAACCCTAATAGCCAGTGCATATTAAAACTTGTGTGTCATGTTTGTAGCCAATATGGGAAAATATGAGAAAGATTGTAATTGCATGAACCGAAAAATAAGACAGGTAATACAGTAAATATGTTTTATGCATGATTTAGGTGTTAAAAGTAGAGTAGTTGGAAGACTATATAGTTTAATGATATAAATGGAATGCCTTTTCAAAGAATTTAACAGTCTCTTAAATTATTTCATTGTATCAACTTACTTTATTTTTCCCTTCTTTCCAGCTAACTGCCTTCTATGAATGCAGTCATTATTCAAGGTGATCATATTCTTCCAGTTAAAACAAGACTGAAATATGATGGCCCAAAATTTATGAAAAAGCTGTATTTTCCTGAGAGACTGATACACACACACACACACACACACACACACACACACACACACACATATATTTGTTCCCTTTATTCCTGCAATATAAATTATAAATCTTGGAGAGATTTTCTGGGCTCCTTTGGAACAGCAAGTTGAACCAACAGTGATTGGCTGATAGAGTAAGAATATCATATGCAACTCTTCCAAACTCGTTCCATAAAGCTCTCTTGGCAGTCACTCACACTACATTGCACAAAAGGATCGAGAAGAGTTAAAGAAATCATCTTTTCAGCTTCAACAGAGAGATTTCACCAGCACATTTACCAGAAAGAATCTGGGAATGGATTCCACTACAGTGATATAGACTGCGTCTTTAAGAAGTGACCATTATACTGTGTGTGCATGTGTATATATATACACACATACACACACACACACACACAAATATATAGTACTGTAATACTGCAAGAGGGTTTTTTTAAACTTCCCACTTTATTTTTTTACACACATTAACCAGATATCATTACTTACTGCAGTTGCAACTATGCACTTGTATAAAGCCATAACGTTGGAGTTTATCATCACTCATTTGTGTACCTGGTGGAAGCTGCATGTTTGCGTTTAAGCAATTACTGTAACAATGAGTTTGAAGTTAATTATGTCGATTTCCTAATGCTTCATAATAGGCAACTTTACCCATTTTGAATGCCTTAATTTAATTTTTTTCAAAGTCTCAACCCTGTTCTGCATTTTAAAAAAAAGAAGAGGTGTTTACCAGCTCTTAGGATGCAAATTTGCTTTGCAGAAGAAAATTAGTGCGCTATTTTTACACATAATAGTTATCAATGTCAGCCTATTTTGATTGTATAACAATTTTTTTTAAGTATTGGTGATAGAAACAATAATGGATAGTATTGGAAGTAATATATCTTTTATGTGTATCTATTACTCATCCAACCCTTTTACAGACCTCAGTATTAGTGTGCGACTCTGAAGCGTTTTCTTTGCTTTGAATTTGCTGGCTAGCCTAGATGTGTTTTTATTTCTGGTAAAGACATTTGTGACTATTTTTACATTTTTTCACACTCAAGATTCAAAAATTATCTCAAATACAAAGAAAACTAAAGACATACTGTAGATATATTTTAAATATTTAAATGTGATCCCTTAAACACATGACTGTGTATGGCAATATTTCAGTATTGGGTTTAGAAAACTGGTGACTGGGAAGAAGTGGCCTCAAAGGCACTTACCTTGATTTTTATTTTTTAAATGCTATTATAGTTACAGTTTATGCAGGACTATTCCTGCTATATTTCCCATTATCCCAGAAAAATGTATGTTTTATACTGCTTCAGTTATGTATCAATGATAAGCATTGAGTAAGAAAAATTATGCAGTCTTTTATCAGTCTCTGTATACATAGACAGAGTTTGGTGTGATATTGAAATACATCATTAATATTTCAATGAAGGAAGTAGACCTTTTTCATTGATTCCCTCTGGGGTCAGTGTAGAGATATTTAAAGAGTTAGGTCCCCAGTTATAGATACTCTTGTGGAAATTGAAGAGTGGCTATGGCCTGCTGATGTACTGAAAGTGACTCTTGTTCTTACATTAGCCAATCTGCACTCTTCCATGCTGTCTGTGCTAAAACTAGATATGCATGCCATTTCCCTTGCAGATATGTTCTGCATTTCTGGTTTGGGGGCACAGCTGTTTTTTTTTTTTAAGATTAAAAAATGAAAAATATATAAAATTTATATAGAATAAATATTTCCATTCATTAGACTTGTTAAAAGGAGACTGAATTAATATTTTATATAAAGATTTTGTTACACTATGGGAGGTTCTATCATATTATCTGAATTGGAGAGTATATATATATATTTTTAATAAACTTTATTAAGGTGAAATAATTTGAAGTTTACATATGAGTAATTGAAATATTTGAGTAAAAATGGCAAAACTTTAAATTTTGAATGCTGTATATATTAGAGAATATGGAGAATCATGGTGTGATGCAACTATACAAGGAAAATTAATGTGAAGTTTTTTTGGGGGAAAAAAGATATTCTGAGGGGTGAAAAAAGTCTCTCCCATGGAGATTCTTCACATTATATGGTTTGACTTAAGGGTTTATAAGGTTGTTTGTCCGACTAATGGAAATTGCGCTTAATAAAAAATTCTGACCTTGGGTAAGAATTTGCTTTTTACCCTGTTGCCGGTTTCATGTACATACATGAGTGCATGTACCTCTCCAAATGTTCTCTTCCCAACCCTCATTAAATATGAAGTTGACTTGGCTTAACAACCTGATTTTGTGCCAGCTTCTCTTTTTCTTGAGCTCCAAAGCTTCCAAGATAAAAATAAGACCACAAGTTGCTTATTTCCTCACACCTGATTTCTCCTAGAGCCATAAATACCTCCTGTTGAGAACTAAGAAGTAGTGAATGCTGGGATTTTCTTAGTTGGATTTTTTGACTTTTTTTTTGTAGGGATAGCGAGACAGAAGTAGAAGGAAAACTGGTGCCGGTATTACTTTTAAAACTTAATGTATAGTGAATTTTTGAAAAGTATTAAAGAACATGCTATCTAGAAGCAAGATTTAAAGAAAATATATCTGAAAGTTTAAAATGCTCTAGCTAACTAAAGAATAACTATACCGATAAATCTAAAATAAAGGTTAGTGTTTTTCAAACTAACCTATGCTCAATTTCGTGACACGAACCTGGCTCTGAAGGATCCCTTTATACCAGCTCATCTGCAGGTCCTCAAGAAGAAGCACTCTAGCTGCCGAACCACAATGTAAGAAGCTATGCTGCTGTCACTAATCTAGGATTCTGGTGGTAAAACAGAGGAACTTAGACACTATATTACTTTATTGAAACATGCTTTAAATAACATGTTTAAAATCTGATGAGAGCAAGTCACGTCTGAGTTTCTCAGTCTGTGTCGACACTGCTACTGACTTACCTCTCCTCCCCTGGAATAAGGCTTCATTTTTCCCTGTGTTGTGAAGATACCAGAGTTGATTTGTAAAGCACTTTGAAGATAAGCACTGTATGACAGTGCTGAATATTATGCTTGGGGGCCTCTCCTTGATTCCCTTCCCCATAATAATGAGTTTTGTTTGGAATTGTAATAAGTTATGAACTGCATGGTTTAGATAATCATAAATACTTGATCATCTGTCCCCTTTGAACAAAAATCATACCCCTCTGATTTTTCTTTTTTTAATTTTGTTGCATCTTTGTAGTAATGTAATTGTATTTTATGCCTGCTTTTTATATTAAAATTAAATAAAAGAAATTAAGACATAAGCATTTTCATACTTTTCCTGTGAAATAGTCCTGGAATGCTGCAAACTTTTAAAATTACCCCCAAAATCTGCCTTCCCTAAAAGATGGATATAGCAGACAAGTCATAACTAAGGTTATAGACTTGGGAATCTTCAGCCCTATCGTTTAGGCCATGGAGAAATACAAAACAATTTCAACCAGGAGTCTGTCTCGGATTTGACTTAGGTATTTTAAGGGGCAAGCAAACCTAACAATTTCATCTGAGTGTAAAGGATACGGAAAAGAGGCAGGGTGCCTGTTTTGTCAGGAATAGTGTGCTGACAGGTGGTTTTCTAGAAAGCATTTCTTTGGTAATCAATGGGTTCTCTGCTAGGATACTTACTGGCCATCTGACCTGGGACAGGTTATTCGCTTTGAGCCTCAGTGTTTTCACCTGTAAAATGGAGATTTTTTTATTTATAGGATTGTTGTGGGATTAAATATAATAATATGTTAGTATATCTGGAATAGCTCAAGTGTTTGTTCCCTTCTCTCCCAAAGGGAAAAAACGGAGAACTCTTCACCTAAGTATATTCTTAAAGGATTTGTTTAAAGCAATGATAAAATACTAATTAAAGAAGTATATTTAAATAAAATACTTGTTGGCCTAAAAGTCACATAATTTGTATTTATGCTCATGGTCAGATTATAGTTGTGCAGCACATAATGATGTTTAGGTCCCTGACGGACTGCATGTATAACAGTGGTCCCATAAGATTAGAACTTTATAGCCTGTGTGTCGTAGGCTCTACCATCTAGGTCTGTGTAAATACGCTCTATGATGTTCACACAACAACAAAATCACCTAATGACGCATTTCTCAGAACGTACCCGACGTGATGCCACAGGTGACTGCATAATTGTATATGGGAAGAAATTCACTTGGATATGTTTTTAAATGACGACTATGACTCTAAAAACTACAGAATGAATGATTTATTATTTACTTTTAGATATGTTTCTCCTCCTACTGGTCTCAAGTAGTAGTTCTAAAAGGATTAACCACGGCTTATATTTTAAAAACTGCACTTATAGAACTTAAAACTAATCACATTAAAACAACTGACAGTTTCAAGACTCAGCAGAGTTCAGATTTTACATAGGAAACTAAAACATTTTCTAATAAACATCATTTACTTCATATAACAGAAGAATGGCATTCAATTATAAGGGGAAAGAGAGTTTTTAAATGTTAGGGTTTATAAACTTATAGGAAAATACAGTGTACAATAATCTTAACATCACGTCTAGAATATCATACTGTAATGAGAAAATCCACAAGAACTTGGCAGATCCCAGCCATACCCTTTACGGCATATGTTTTCAATAGACAAAACCTGGTCAAGGTCAGCTGTATTGTGTACCAAATTCCAATAATTGTATAGATGTGGCCCTTTAAAAAATGGCAGCATTGTGCTTGAATCAGAAAGTTCATTGGGATTACCTTGTCACAAGTAGAGATTGCAGCAAATAGCACCTTTTGGTAGGAGTTAAAGGCACAGTATGAAGCTAAAGGACTACTTTGGTCTATGAACTCAAGCCAGTTACAATTTTGCTTGCCTTGCTATCTTTGCTATATATAGCCCAAGGAGGTATTATACTGTATTATGATACAAAAGGCCATTCTGTTATATCTGTTACAATTAAACATTAGTCCCAGAAAGTAAGCCCTAGTAATTTAATATAATTCTATTTCTGACTTGGAGCAAAATCCCACTCTATCCGTGTTCGTTTGTGCTGTGGAGAGGATTTATTTCTTAAAAGATTCTGAAAGCTGAAAAATAGATGTGGTTAACTCTTGAGAGAGAACTTAATCAAGATGTTACGTAAGGGTCAAAGCCGTCTCCTCACACCGTGCTCCCTGGACGGTGTGCATCAATCCCGAGCCTTCTCAAAGCTGCAGCTGGCTGAGCCCTGCCTTAACCTGACGCGGTGGGGGAAGCGGAGGGAAAGGGACGTTTCTGAATATGTGTTCAAGTGGTTCTTTCAAGTCTAAAACACCTTTGACTTCAAAGTTTCTGAAACAGTCGACTATAAAAGACCTTGATTTAGCCATGAGCTGTTTCCCCTTTAGTTATTTGAAATCCACTTCGTGTGTAGGAATCATGGATCCATCATTCAGCCTTTACATCGGTCTTCTGGTAGCGAAGTACTGTAGCCGTTACCCATATGTTTAAAGTCATCATGATCACAAAACGTGTAAGAACTGAAATCAGTCAAAAAGAAAGAAAAAGTATATTAAAAAATACCGTTTTCACATTATAAGACAAAATCACCTCCTGCTCTAAGTTGGAGCCTAAATAAAGATTCTCCAAAAATTAAATTCAGAACTATGGATCATGAGAACTTTTGAACAACTTTGACTCCAACATTTCTGGAAAAATGATCTTCCTATCATGACTACTTTTGGCCACTTGGCCTGACTCCATGAATAGTCATTTATCGTGTTAAATGCTGAATTTGGAGGAATCTGGCTCTGGCTGATAAGAAATATTGGGACTTTTTAAAACACCTTTACTCATTTTTTAAAGTTTTGGGGAGGTAGTGTCTCAGAACATTGCAGGTTACACAAAGGTAGTGTAGTGCACTCTCCTGAGATAATCCTGAAAAACTGGCCCAAATGTCGAAGCATGTTTTATATAGAGGTAACCATGGAATTGTGGCTCTTTGTTAAAAAAGAGAAAAAAGTAACTTTAACAGTGACTTTAATGAACGTTCTCCTGATAAATAAGGTTTATAAAATTTAATGTATCTTTGTAAAACACTTGTAAGATTATTAGCTAAACTGTTCTTAAAAGGTTATCCCCAGCTATACTGGTAACTTTCAGGAATAGCTGTCACCTTGGATAAAAACAAATCACATTTAGAACATTCTCAAACTTTTAAGCTTAATTCTTAAAATGTAGGTTTATCTTGTTGTTTAATTGTGGTTCGACTATTCTTTCCCTGAAGAGAATTCAGGTCCTGTGGAGAAGACTCAAGCCTGTCTCCTTTCTCTTTCCCCACCTGACCCAAGATTATGCTTTGACCAGAACACTTTTTTTTCCCTTTTTTTGTGAGGAAGATTGGCCCTAAACTAACATCTGTTGCCAGTCTTCCTCTATTTTATGTGGGACACTGCCACAGCATGGCTTGATAAGCAGGGCTAGGTCTATACCCAAGATCTGAACTTGCAAACACCAGGCTGCCTCTGAAGCAGAGTGTGCAAACTTAACCACTACACCACCGGGCTGGTCCCTGACCAGAACACTTTTGACCCTTCTCTCAGCTGATAGAAAATATTTAAGTCAAAGATAAAACCTCCAGGAAGGGATTAACAAATGCATCCCTCTGTTCCTTAGCAATAGTTCTCAAATAATAATTAGCTTATTTAAAGAGTCTGTGCGCCAGGGACATATGTGTAGTCTTCATAAAATAGGTGACACCATCTGTTTTAATCATTTTCCACAAATTTATATGCTCGATTTGAGAGCTGAAAACGCAGCCTAAGCAATGACTGAATTCTCTTGAGGTTAACCCAAGTATTTTCTCCTTCATCACAGTAGCTCTTTTAAAAAAAACAGAACAAGGACATGGAGTCAAATGATTATGTCACTCTCCTGGCTGTAAAAGCCTTCCTGCTGCTTATGGGCAATTCGCAGAGGCTCTGGACCCTTTGGCCACTGCCAGCTCCTCCCCTCCTCTCGTTAGACTCACTCCCCATGCTCTCCGCCCCGCCCCCAACCCTACTGGTCCTGTCTGGTGGCCAAGCCGTGCATCTCTTTGCTCATGACCTTCACACATGCTGCTCCTTCCAACAGTGTCTTCCCCTCCTTCTCCAGATCTCACTCTTGTTCAAATTCATCTTCCCAGCTCCCTCAGGTTGTCCTGTTAGGTGCACATCCTGTCCTACTCTTTCAAAACACATTTCACAATATTTTTCAATAGTTAATTGGTGATTACTTCACTGTCCATTTCCACTGCTGGAGTGGAAGCTCCACAAAGATAGGAGTCTCCTGTCTTGTGCAGATTCTATCCCAGGTACTACAAGAGGTAGGTGCTTAACACTATAGATGGTGACTGACAAAGACCAGGAATAGACTGTTGCTGGCCTCTAAGTTTATAATCCACTGGAGCCAAATCGATCTCTTAAACCCTGAGACACTTTACAAACAAACGAGGTGCAAATAGCACAAAACTCAAAAAGAAAGTGGACAGAAAAATATTTTGCTTACTTGTAAGATCATTGGTAGTCATTAGAGTTGTTATTATTCTTGCTGGAAAAGAAAATGTTCAGCAATAAATAACTTGCTTCTCAAACATTTTGTATTTAGCTATTGTCTTTCCATTTTAAATACAGCAATATATGCTAACTTTTCTTGAGAGATTTTGGTGGTACAGAATACTAAATAGGACTGTGTTCCATAAAACATCTAAAATCCAGCCAGGCGTCCGAGCCCGGTGGTTTTGAAGCTGCTCATAAGAGCAGGAGCAGTTCCGAGAAGGTACCTCAGTGCTGCCCAGGGGAGCGAGGGCAGCCCGAGCGCCTCTCCCCGCTGTGCGAACCCACAACTACTTGTGAAAACCTCATTTACATATTGAGCTTCTGGTAAGGTTTCATTTAAAGAAAGCCTCCCAGTAACTAAAAACAATGTTTTTAAAGCACTGAACTCTACCCCCTTACTTTCTAGATGTTTTACAGATAAAGGAAACAGGCCCAGAAGAGGGTACGATTTTCTTAAGGGTCCGGCTAGAAGTGTTTAGTTTAATGCGTTTTTCTGGTCAAGCACTTCACTTAGTAAACACTTTAGGAATTGCGGGCGACAGTTCAAAGTAACCCATGCAAAACGTGAATCTGAAGTTACAGGAGACCACTGTCTGCAACTCAAGGCGTGCCCCCTTCCTGACCCACGCCACCCCACACGGAGCTCTCCCTCTACCTAACACGTCTGCGTGAGGCATACACTGACACGGTGGCTTTGAAAGGTCTTACCTTCTAACTAAACTAAGCTCTGAAAGACAGGGACCGAATCTTATCAAATGTTTTGTGGCCAATTTTGATTACCCAAGGATTTACACAAAGACGCTATGTGAATAGTTGTTGATTAAATCAGCAATTTAAAGGGAAGAGATGGGTCTTAAGTAGATGGAGGGGAGACTCCAACCCATTAGGAAGATGGCCAACACAGAGGATTCTCGAGCAAACTCTTTTAATACTTTAAAGAATTTTAATAAATGCTACCCGGTAGTACCCGTCTCCAGGTGAACTAGACAATAGTAACCAAAGGAAATCAGATTAAGTGCTAAAATGCACATTCCACTCATTTCTAAGTCAATGTTGAAGTTGTTAGCCTCATCTATCAAAAAGGGAAGCTGGGTTTAAAACCAGTTCCTTTTTTCCCATAAATTTATAGTCCTTAGTTCATTTATCATGCAGTCAACAAATATTTAAGTACTTGCTAAGCACAGAGTGCCACGCAAAATCGATGGAGATGTAACACACGGCCTCTGCAGTTACAAACTCCCAAGGGTTCCCAAAAGAAACGCCATGAGCAACACTTGAAAGACGAAAATACCGAAGATAAGATTAGGGAGCTAACAAGTAATATATCTAATCAGCAATTTCAGAAATCATATATATATATATATATGATTATAACACTCCAACATTTTAAAGCTAAAAATAAAACTCAAGAAGTCTTCATTTTAACTAACTTTGGACATAAAGACCTCTACCAGCAACCATGGATGGAGAAATTGGTCCTTTAAGATATAGAAGAAACAGGAAGTATAATTCAAATATCTAAAACTAGTAATTCTAATGTGATAACTCTGAATTTTTAAAATATTTCTACCTAACTAAAGCATAGATGTATTTTAGGCAGTTCCTGCAAGAATCCAAATGAACAGCGGAAATTCTAAAGTTGAGACCAAATAATATGGCTCCAAAAAAACTCCATTGCTGCAAACTATATTCATTCTCAAAAGCCAATGTATAATTTTCATCTCTTTAACCTGTTACATTATAAAGATTCAAATTTTTAAAACAAGTTAGTGGATTCAACATAATCAACTTCTTGATGCTTTTCAAAGAACAAGACTGTTAATATTAGGCCAGATTTTGGGGAAAAGTGTGCTTTCACTCTTTTTTAGCCACTGGAATACAGATCTTGCAGAAAAGGTATAGTCGTCTGCATTAAATCAGCCTTGTATATAGGGATGCCCTGGGAGGTCTATCTGAACAGCTCTTTGCAAAGGTTTAAAGCTCAAGGGACTATGACACTTGGACACCAAGTGAACGCACTCTTCTGGGCAGACCTCTGCTGCTGACCAAGGACACCCCGCCATCAGAGCCTTGTTCTTACTCGCACAGGTGTATGAAGCGAGGCTGCAAGTCAGAGCACTCATGACGCCCGAGTCCTTGGTCTTCCACAGGTCCTGGAGCTGAGCAAACTTACTGGCCGCACTGATGAAAGTACATAAATTCTGTTGGCAGATGAAACATGAGAAAGTTGGGAGTCCCTTAGTTAAAACAACAAAGAGCATGAGATACTGAAAGCACTTTTGAAGCCAAATCTTCAGGTCAAGTAGTAACCAATTTGTACAAGTCAAAACCAAAGTCTAGGGAAAAAGAAGGCAAGATGGAGGCATTTATTTATAACCCACCAATTCTGCTGTTCAGTGTGTGACTAACGGGCTGCAGCCGGCTTGAAGTTGAGACTAAGAAAGAGTCACGGCATGACCACCAAGGCTTATCTATCCCCAGCTGCCAACAAAAAAGAGGGAGAAGGATACGGATACTATGTTGTTTTAGAGAGAACCTGGGGGAAAACCATGCTGCTTTGAACTGACAGACTCATAAAGCAGCAGGCTGTGGGCCATCAGCTCTGAATTTCCGGCTATTCAGAGTCCACACGGTGATGCCCTCAGCTCCTCCGCTCCCTGCGAGGTAAGAGACCTTCATGCCAGTTAGCCCGCTGCACCGGACAGGGCCCTCCACACTGAGCGGGGCCCATCAGCAGAAACACCCACGTCAGCTGCGGGTTGAGGAGGGGCCAAAGGGAGGCAAGGGGGAAGCCAGAGACCGGCCAGCAGGCTACTGGCACATCCAGGTTTGCCGCAGGGAGGTGGAAACAGAAGGGGCGAGAAGTGTGCAGATTCTGGATATAGTCTGAAGGTAAACTTGTGGGATTTGTGAGGAATTGGCTGTGGGATGTGAGAAAAAGGGAAGTCAAGGGTGATTCCAAGCGCCACTGTTTCTGGCCTTCACGGGTAGAAGAATGGAGTAGACGCTGTGAGTTGAGATAGAAAAAGCTGCAGGAGCAGGTTTGCTGGAAGAGAGGGGCAGGGCAGGAGACCAGAAACTCAAGTGTTGGCCACGTGAAGCTGGAGACGCTTATGAGGCAGGGAGGGGTAGCGTGGAGCCGCTCACTGGATATACACAGAGGGTGCTGGAGGCTGGGGCCTCTGTCACTGAAGTCAGGGACATGAGAAGGGGCAGGCAGAGACACTAGGAAGGATCAGGTGGAAGGGGCAGCAGGGGCGAGGTGTCCTGGAGCCAAGTGAGCAAAGTGATCCAAGGAGGAATCCTGATCTAGGCATCCGACGCTCCAGAGCTGCTGAGATGCGGAAGGAGAACCGAGCTGTCTTGAGCAAGATGAACACAGCTAGTGTCCTTGACAGGAGTAGCTCATTTATCTTCTGTCTCCCCAGAAGGAAAGCTCCACCAGGGGAGAGCTTGATTTCTGCTCACTCCCCAGTACCTGGAACCGTGCTGGCACGTACGTGGTCGTCACTCAATAAATCCTTAACGACAATGCAGTGGCAAATGTAATGACAAAGGGGAACACGAGATGACATGGGGGGAGCGAAGGGGTAACCTTAAGGAAAAATAAGGTAAGATAAGGAAAAATGGAGAAGATAACAGCAGGGTGTGTTCCTAGGCAGAGGAGGTGAGCAAGCACCACGGTCAGGCCTGTGGTGGGATCCAAAGACAGGAGCTGGGCGCAGACGGCTTGGAGGACTGACCCCAAGTATAAACCAAGTGTAAAGACTGGTGAGGAAAAAGGCTTTTGTGCAATCCGGGCGACGGAGGAGGGAGGCAGGCAGAGGAAGACAGCATCTGAGACCCAGCCAGGACACAGGATCAGCAGGGGCTGGCGAGGAGTTGGGTCAGGGCTGAGGGAGCGGAGGGAGGGGTGGGTCAGGAAGTCTGCACACGCGGATTTATGCCGGGCCCTGTTCACACCTGTCGGGGGCAAGGATCACGTTCGGGTGACCCAGTGCTAAACAGATGACCCCTCAATGCCTGCTACTCCACCAGGCACGTCTTCCAGGAGACAATGCCACCTTAAGAGTCGTGAAGTAGTTCTCGTTTGGGACATAAGCAAGGCCTGGACAACCTTACACATATTCAACTGCAGGTTATTAGGGTTTCCGTGACACAGGACTGGAAAGGAGAACTGGTGCCTACAGCATTGTGGAGATCATTTTTAAATACTTTACTCCTATCTTTTTGTGACTAAACTCTGAGTATGCGAATTATCAGTTTATCTAATCTTCTGTGGAAACGATTTGTCAGTCTGAAGTGGTAGCTGCTTTTGAAAGCAACAGAACTGTAAACCTTCCACAACTTGGGTTTCTCACGAATTCAAACAGCTCTCCTCCCCTCCTGGACCCTAGGGCTTCTGCCCTGTGTGAGCTGTGAAGCCCGCGCTTTCTCCTCCCTGCAGCCCCATGACCCTCAAGCCACCACCTCATCCCCACGGCCCCCAGGGCCCGCCATGGAGTGGGCACCCGGGAAACACTTGTTGTAGACAGCGACAGCACAGAGCCTGGCATGCCGCTCGTGCCTGAGGAGGGAAAAAGGAAGCCCTCTTCTCTGAGCTGTGCGAGCAGCAGTGTGTGGTTAGAACAGAGCATTCACTGAGGAGGGCACAGAAGCAACAAAAGGCTGCAGCCCTTGAGCTTAGGCCCCATTCCTGACAAGCCTGTACCACCGTATCCCCGGGATGACGTTCTTGGGGCTGGAGGCGCACTGCTGCATTGTGACAGCCCAGTCACCCAGCCACAACTGCACCAACCTGACCAGCGGCAGCGGCGACGCAGATCCTGGAGATGACTTATTTGTAGGGTGGCCAGAGTTAGCACCCAAAAATACTGGACACTCAGTTAAATTGGAATTTCAGATCAGCAACAAATAAGTTTTTAGAATGCCCCGTTGCAATATTTGAGACATACTTATACTAAAAAATCATTCAGCATTAATACGGCAACCCTAGTTATTTGCTCTCCATACGTCAGAAGGTGGAAACACGACACAGAGTCAAGTCCACTTTCCAAGAAAGGGTCACAGACAAGATGCTGGGGGGAGAAGGCGGCGAAACTCCTGAGTCTAGGTGTGGCGGGCAGTGACTTGTGACCACCAATTACTTCTGCTCCTTTTCCCGCTGGGTGGAAGCGTTCACTTCAGTCAGCTTGGAGAGAAGACCTGTGCGCAAGGCTTCCTGACCCGCTCTCAGAACCCTGTTCTCACAGCCCTTAACCAAGGAAGGACAAAAGGATAGGGCTTACCCTTCTCCACGGAGGAGAAAACATGTTGGGGGTCAGAGTTACACAAATACTGGGTATGTGGCCAACATGTAATTATTAAACTGATAAGAGGCTCTTTAACTTATGCTCAGTTCTTTATTCTCCTACTACCTACCTCGCCCATCTGGATCTCTTCGGCCCCAAAAAAAGGAAGTAAAAAAAATTCTGCCACACATTTAAATGAGAATAATGTCTTTTAGTATTTGGACAGCACTGCGCTTTCAGCCCGTTATCCTCTGGTACAGCTGAAAAATCAGCAGGTTCAACACATGGTCTATACGTTCTTCGCAGGGCAGGTGGCAGGGAGAGGAGAGAGGACAGACCCCTGCTGTTTCACACACTTTCTTTACCGGGAGCGATACTTACTATGGCCACATCTATGATCCACTTCTGCAGGGTGAGGAGGAACCACGACGTCACCAATCTTACCAAGGGCTGAGGAAGACAGCAGCGGCTCGGCTGGCAGCTCCACCACCCTCCCTGCCCCGTACCCATGGAAACAAACCAGGACCACAGAGTTACACACGTAAGCCAAGTGCGGAAGTGGGAACGGCTTTGCTAGAACCTCTCAGACTTGGAAAAGACAAAAACAGTTCAAGTGAACACCTGCTGGGCGTCCAAAAGAACAGAAGCAGATCATGGAAGAAAGTTACAAAGAACCCTGCGTTCGTGGGCTATTCTAGCACTGGGAACATGCCAGATGACTTTAACTGCCCGCTTCATTCCTGACTGTGTGGACATCTCCAACGTAATGTCATCAGTGAAGCGCTTCAAAGAGAAGTCTGACATTATAAAGTAGGCTTGTTCTGCAAAACAGTTGTCCCCGAAACTGTTTAGTGATTTCCTCCTTTCCCACTAACTCCATTGTGAAAATGATCCAGTGGGGTGAGCAACGCAGGAGGAGGAGGAATGCTATTTGATTTTCGTCAAGCTCAGTGACGCTGCAGGAATCGAGAGCCCAGGGAGAGGAACTGAAGCTAACACAGGAGAGGCAGTGGGCAGGCCAGTGAGGGGACGGCCAGGAGCCTCTGCTGTGACCTTGGGCAAGCCACTTCCCTTCTCTCCACCTTGGTTTGCATATCTGCAAAATGGACTTAACATTTCTTGCCTTACCTACCTCCTCAATGCCTAGTGGCACACGGTGGGGACCCAACAGATTGCTGTGCCTATAATGAATAACATTATTGAAATGAAGGGGCTGGAACAGATAATGCCCTGTGCTAAAAATCAGTGGGACTACTAGCACCCTGGTCAGCACCAGAAAGGCAGCCTGAAGCCAGGTGGATGAAATCTTGTTTTTAAAACACTCTAATTTAATTGTTTAAACTAACTTTGGTGGTATTTTTTGCCCAATTTTGCACCATTGCGCCTCATTCCATTCATTCTGAATATACATTTTATAAAACTTGAGCAGTAGTAGCAGCTACCGAGATCCCAGAGATAACTTTCTTGTAAGGCTGCCAGAATTTAGCCAATAAAAATACAGGGCACTCAGTTAAATCTGAATTTCAGATCAATAGCAAATACTTTGTTAGCATAAGTATGTCTCATGCAATATTTGGGGCATACTTATGCTAAAAAACTTCACTGCTAATATGGCAGACCTACTTATGTGCTCTCCACACGTCACAATTGGTGGGAGGAGCCTGTAAACATCTTGCAAACACTACAGAGCTGCCATCAGCACACAAACAGCTATGTGAATAATTTACCAGACCGTCAGCACCCAGATTTCCTAATCCACAGCCTCGCTATTTGCACAAAGATTTGTTGCATTTTATTTAAAAAGTAAATCACACAATGCTTTTCTCTTCAAAGTAGTCTGTTTTCAAAAATCTTTAACCTGCTGGGACTACCCTTGAAGTGCTAAGGGGCAGTAGAGCGGTGCAATCCTCTCTTTGCAGAGGGAAACTGAGTCAGGGGGCTTACAACTCAGTCAGGACTTGGTCCACACCCAGCTCCATCTGCAGACACGCTCCTAGTAAAACAGTGGTGAGGCCCCTGCCGCGTCCCCAGCTCGGCCTGCGCCCCTGTACGTTGGTTCTCGAAACAGCCCTAAAAGGTAGGCGTTACTATCCCACTCCACAGACGGGGCAACTGCAGCTTAGACAGCTTGTGGCATGCGCCCGAGGCTACCCCAGTGCTGCCCACCACTCCGTGCCCACATCCTCGCCACGCTCAGGGCAGACGGGGCCTCCACCCTGAAGACGCCGACATAAACTGCTCAGATCTTTTCACAGATGTGGCAGGCTTAACTGCTGTTCACAGGCTTTCCTGGCCTTTCAAGCAGTGTGAAGTTCAACAGAATAACTGAGTATTTACAAAGAGCTGAAATGAAAGCCTGGCCCGCCTTTGAGGAAGCCATGTGAGTGGGGGCACGTCTGTGTGGTGAGCAGGCCCCCATGGAGACCCTCCTAATGTCATGACTAGGGGCATGGTTCTCACTTTGAACAAGCAAACATGAGTCCACACCCGCCCACTAACGGGCAGTATGCTGGTGTGGGAGCCAGCTGACAGGGGTGTTAGCGGCACTGTGTTACATGCCAGACATTCTCTTTATTATGACTTCAAATACTTTGGGGACATTTTCAGGGAAGGAAGAAATGTCTCCCTTCCCTTAAAGAATAAAGCTGGACGGTGTTGCTCTTAGCAGGGGTGCTTCTGTAGCTTGGCCTGCTCAGCACTGGGGTACCAGTTCACATCCCACTTGGCCTGTCGCACACCACGGGGCGCCCTGGTCGTGGCGGGAAGGCCACAGGGCAGGAACCCTTCTAGAGCATCTCTGGGCTGTGGAGATACATTCGCTCACATGGAGTCTCGCATTTGGGATTCCTTTGTAGTTTAACGAAAAGAACATCCTTCGGGTAAAGGACCGTGCTTAATAATTCATACTATTAGCCAATAACACCCTTGTCTCTGAGTCCCATCTCTGGTTCTCAGATGCTGAAAGGATACAGGGCGATGTAGGGAGCCGCCCGTCTCACGTCCCCGTTGAAATGGAAGATGCAGAGCAGCAGGATGAGATCTGAAAGGGAAAGGCTCCCGGTGAGAGGCAGGAGGGCCGCAGGGCCCCCGGCGGGCAGGGAGGGGCGGTTACCTTGTAGGATGAGAATGGGGTACTCCAGGTAGGTCAGCAGCGGGTACTCGTAGTAACACTGGTACCGGAGAAACACCAGGAACCTGCGGAGAGGGAGGGCACCCCTGAGCGCCGAGCTCGAGCTGGACTCTGCGGACACAGCACGGAGGCCCCGCCGCACCCAAGAGCACAGGATCGTTTGCAAAACCCGAGAAATGGTGGATGAAGCCTGCAAATGTCAGGGAGGGCAATTCAGAACAAAAAGGATGTTAATGTCATAATCTCCATGATTTTTGGAGCATCCAGTACTGTGGGTGCTGGGCACAATTTACACGGTCACTGTCAAGTCCCTCAGGATGGTCACTTAATTTTTACAGAAGGAAACGGCCGATCGGGATCAGAAGAGATTGGGTCTGCCTGTCCCCAAAGCTGGGCTCTTGCATGGCCCAGGTGGCCCCCTCAGGTCACACATTAGAAGCTGTGGAGGCCAAGACAGACATCCAAGGGGGCCGGAGAGCCATCCGTGGCGGGGTGTGGGGGGTGCAGGCAGGGCTTCTAAGAGGCGGGCGTGTTTGGGCACCGCGGTGAGCTGAGGAGGCCGTGACACCGCCTGGGTGATCTGTGTGGCCGTCCAGCGTGCTGCCCGGTCAAGGGGAGGGCAGTGGGGAAAGGCACGTAGACCAATCCTCAGCTCCTTTAAGAAAACTTGAGCTCTGGAGAGACTGGGGAAGGGGGGCAGGGTAGGAAAGACCCCAGAGCCCCTCCCCTTTTCAGGAGAACAGGCCCAAGCTTCCTGCCTTCCCAGCTCCTATCTAGCCAGTCAGCTCCCCTCAGAACCTAAATCTCCCGCTGTCCCCTCAGAGTCTGTCCCTGACCCATTGCCCAGGCTGTGAGGCTCCCTCAGTCTGCAAGTCCGGCCACAGGGACTGGAAGGAAGGACTCGGAAGAGGCCAGAGCCTCCACTTTCATCTGGATTTGGTGGCTCATTTCCTCAGCTCGGAAGGGTTGTTGACAAAGCAGACAGCAGGCTGGGGAGCCCGGGCCCCATCCGTTTCTCAGCTGTACAGTTTCTGTGCAGTTCTCAGCTGAGCAGGGGGTGGCGGGGAGGGTCACAGGACGGGAGCAGGGAGCCCAGCGTCACCCTGAGCACGTGGGGCTCCCAGGCCTGGGCCTCCCCTGGTCAGCCCCTTCGTGACCAGCAGCTCTTCCCAGGAACCCCAGCCTGGCAGGCTCTCTGGGGGCTTTGCAGTCCGTGGTCTCATGGCTTCAGGGGACGAGCAGATGCTCCGGTCGGCCCCTGCCCCCTGCGCGGTCTCCCTTCTTGCCGGGCCTCCAGAGCAGCACCTTCCGGTCACCTCCAAGGGAGAGCCCAGGGGCCGGGGCAGGGGCGGCATCCCCCTACTGCAGGGCAGGGTGGCAGCCAGCCTGGCCGGGCACAACAGGCTGCAGAGCAGCAGTGCTGAAGGAATGAGCAGGAGAGATTCAGGGGGAAAGGCTCCCGGGTCTTTACCCCACACACACACTGAACGAGGGGACACCTCCCATAATACAGCTGGAGACCTTGGGGACAGGCGGAGGCCCTGGACCAGCCGAGCTGAGAGCACCGTCAGGGGTCATCCGCACTGGCCTCCATACTTTACAGACCACTGGGGAAACTGAGGCCCCTCACTGCCCCCATGGCTATATGAAAGGCAGAAATAAGAATGGACTTTTTTTTTAAATTGTGAAAACTGAAACACACAGACACAACGCAGAGGAAATCGTCTAGCAAACCCACTGCCCGGCCCCAGCACTCACGCAGGACACTGCTCCATGCAGGCTCATCTACCCTCTGCTCTGCTGATGTGGGCACACGGTTCTCACCCTGCACACCTCAGGACACAGGTCTCAAAGACTGGCATTTTCCTGCCACTTCACACCAACCCAAATTAAAAATCATTTCCTGGTATCATTAAGATATAGTTCATGCTCCAATCGACCCATTCTCTCAAAAATAAGGTTTTAGAGTTCGTCTGCTCAGATCAGGATCCAAAGAGGGTCCACGCCATCCATGTGGTTGTTCTGGCTCTTACTTCCCAGGGGATGAAGGGGCCCTCTGACAGTGACGGCCTGGGGGTTCTTTCTGCTGGAACTCTGGCTGCTACCCTGCCTGCCCGTGCCCGACCCTGGTCTGGGCGGGAGCCTGGGAGATAGGCAGGCGTGGCCCACCAGGGATGAGTCAGGCCTGCACTGCCCCCAGCTCTAGGGCCATCTCTCCACACACCTGGCCCCAGCTGGCCCTCACCAGGGAGGGCAGGGGCAAGGAGCAGGGAGGAGGGTAGGGTGCTTGCCAACCTTTCCCCCTCCCACAGGATGCAGATGAGATGAGAAAGCATCAAAATCCAGTGCATGTGGCAGCCAGGGCGGGGCAGGCCTCAGGATGGAGAATGCCAGGATCCTGGTCAGCACCCAGGAGACAGCCCTGCTGCGGCCTGGGCGCTTGGTGAGTTCCTTCACCTCCCTGGCCTCGGGTCCCACTGTCGGGGATAACAGAGATATCTACCTCCCTGGGCTGTTGAGAGGATTGAGTCAAATAAGGCTAAAAACACACTGTGTCAACACACACACGTGCCCATGAAACAACACCACTGATAAACTGCTGCCGGAGGTGGAGATAATCCGCATAGGAATCCAGTGGGAGCCCCTGATCACTTCCAGCTGGGCTTCTGCAGAGGGTGCCACTGGGCCGCCTAGACACAGCCCGGCCTGATTACAGCAGTCTGCGAGCCTCATCCTGCCCTCCCATGGAGGCTGAGGGGCAGGGGCCAAGCCCACCACCAGCCTCTGCCTGCATGGTCATCACTGCAGGACCCTTAGCACCGCCCCCCCATCTTCAGGCTCTCCTTCCCAGGGGAGCCACATTCCACTGCCAGAGGGCTGTTTTTTCAAAAATAAGCAGTTACACAAGATGACAGCTAACCCTAGATTAAGGCGGAGCCCTCACCCTCTTTATCACTGGCCTGCAGAGGAGTCGCAGGGTGTGGCAGGCCGCCCACTCCGAAGGTGTCTATCTGTCTTCTATTCACCCTGCAGGCGGCCAGCCTCATCTTCCCCCCCTCAGGGACCGAGGCCCCTCTCCCTGGCCTTCCACATCTTCCCGGACATGTCCTCTGCCCGCTCATCCCCTTCTCAACCCGAACAATCACTGTGGCCACTTCCAGCCAGTGTCCCCCAAACCGGGGCCCCCTTCCTACTGTCCAGTCCCCGCCATCCAGCCTGGGGCCCCCGTGTTTCAGGGTCATTCACAAACGCGTGAGAGGTCGCACACCCTCCGGTAGGCCGACGCGCCTGGGTCAGGACCCCGCAGGACAGGGGCCGGGCTCGGGGGCGGCGCAGCCTCAGCCGCGAGGTGTCTCCTCTCTGCCTCCCTCTCCCACGGCTTCTTTCCAGCCTGGGATCTCGGGGTCAGCCAACCGAGCTGCCCCTCCAGGAAGAGCCTCTGCCCGGGGATAACGCGGAGGGGGGGACCCCGGGCTGGCGAGGAGCAAAGCGGGGAGGACCGGCCTAGCCAGGGGCCCGGGGCTAGACTGCTGGGTTTCACGTGCCGTGTTTTCCCGCGAATTCGAGTCTTCTCGACCAAAAGTTTTACCGCCCTGCGTTTCGCGTGTAGGTCTTCAAATACTGAATCAGGGCACCCACTCGGGATCTCTGACGGATAAACCCGCTCCTGGACAGTCTCGGCCATCTCTGCCTGAGTCCGGCCCAGCTCTCCAGCATCGATTCGCGTGCCCTGCTCCTCTCCCTCCAAAGAGCTCTCCTTTCTCCGAATCCCTCCCCTATCCTCTCCCTCCACAAGCGGAACTTTTAAAAGCCAGAAGATCCTTAGAATAATCCAACCCGTCATTTTGCAGGTGAAGAAACCGAGGCCCGAGAAAGGCGGTGCTGGTGGGTTTAGGGATGTACGTGAGCGAGCCTCCAGGTGCAAACGACCTGCTCAAACCAGATGGCACCAACGGGCGGAGTGACGGTGTCGCGGGGTGCAGGTTTTCCCAGCTGAGCGAACAGCCGGGGGAAGTGCCCCTCCCGGCCGCCCGGCGCCCTCGGCTCCGCTTCCCCCGCCCCCTGCTTGGCCAGAGCCGACGCTCCCCGGGCTCCCAGCGCCCCCGGCCGCGGAGGAGAGGGAGGAAGGGCCTTACCCGGCCAGCTCCAGCAGCAGGCTCGGCAGGCTGATGCCCCGCGCGCTGCGCGCCGCCAGCACGGCGAAGATCTGCGGCAGCTTCAGCGCGGCGCACGCGCCCAGGGTGCTCCAGTTGCAGACGGCCAGCAGCGCCGCCCACATGGCGCCGGCGGACCGGGCGCGGGCGCGGGGCTCGGAGGGTCGGGTCGCAGCTCCAAGAGCAGCCGTCGACACGGGGCCGCCCGGCTCGCCGAGTCCTTCCGCCTTCCCCGCCCGCGGGCCCTGCCCTCCCGGCCCCCGCCCATGCCCGGGCCCGCCCCGCCGGTCCGCCCTTTCGGGGCCCGCCTCTCCCTCCTCTCGCATCCGCCTCGCCGGGTCCGCCCTGTGGGGGCCCGCCCTTCCCTCCTCCCCCATCCGCCTCCCCGGGGTCCGCCCTGTCGGAGTCCTGCTCTGCCCCCTCCCGCCCCGCCCCGCCTTGCTCCGACGCCTCCCCGGGACCGCCCCCTCCCCCGACCACGCGTCAGCCTTGCCCTTTGCCAGTTGTACCCGGTGCTCATTCACTTTTCCATGTTAAACCGACTCGCGCAGTTCTGAGCCGGCGGGAGACCCCCCAGACAGTCCTGCTTTCCCAGGGGTTGGGTGGGCAGAGACTGAACCCTAGCGGGGCAAACGGGAACCCCTCGCGGGAGATGGACCGTTTTGTTGGGATGGTTCACTCCCTAAAAGTGTTTTTGTTTTTCTCACTGAGCATTTCAGAGATTAAAACTTGTAACAACCCACCTTCGTTTACACAGGGGGAAAACAGCCCTCGCCGCAGTCACTGGGGGGCCAGGACCCCCCTCCCCCAGGGTGGTTTTAGTTCCTGCCCTTTCCTCCAGCTGAGAGCGGGGACGCTGCTCCCCAACCCGGGAAGCTTCCTTCCTGGGGGCTTGTGCCTTAGCGCTGGAGGCCCCCGCAGGCCTTGCACTTCAGCACTTGGGAGTGAACGTTTTTTCTTAAGGAGGTAAAATAGATTTCTGTTGATAAAAGAAGGCAATTTAGACGTGGCACAAAATGAGGGGGGTGGGGTGCATTCTCCAAGTTCTCGAAATCGCATAGGTATTGAGTCAAGGTTATGAAGCAGAAAAACTCAGAAAAAGGGAATTCCAGAATCCACGATGGCTGCTTTTGCGCTGTGCGCCTCAGCCGGGCAGCTGTTAGAGGCTCTGCCGTTTGCCCCGTGCTCCCTCCCTGCTCCTCCAGGCCTCCCCTGGCCATCATCCCCTTTGTCCGGAAGAGACCAGAAGGTATTGAGCCCTCCCTGCAAGGCTAAAGGACAACAGGATGTTTAGAAAGAAATCTTTAAGAGGAACACAGAGCGTGTGTGTGTGTGTGTGTGTGTGTGTGTGTGTGTGTGTGTGCGCGCGTATGTGTTTAGTCCTTATCTTCTAGAGATGCTGAAATATTTACAGATGATGTGAGAGTTGATAATTTCTGAAGTAGGTTTTGGGTATCCGGGGGTTATTATACTACGCTCTACTTTTGTATAGGTTTGATATTTTCCTTATTAAAAAGTTTAAAACAAAAGGGAGGCTGGGCGTGAAGTGCTGTTGTCACTTCAAGGTGAGGATTCTGAGCTCCAGAAAGGGAGGCAGCTTGCCTCCTGTCACACAGCCGGCACCAGCTGGAGTCCGTCTCCACGCCAGTCCTGTGCCCTTTCTGCCCTGTGCGGGAATGCTCCCCTGAAATCTGGTGCCAGCCGAGCCCCTGGGTGGGCTTAGTGGCCCCAGCTTTGCCACTTATTGGCTGTGTGACCCTAGGCAATTTGCTCAGTCTCTTGGTGCCCTGTATTCTCCTCTGTAAGGTGGGCATGTCAGAAGCTGCCTGGCGCTCACCGGATGGTTGGCATCACCAGCAGTTTGTTGTCGTAATTTCTTTACTGAGCCTCGCCCTGACTGTCACCCAGCGCTCCCGGCTTCCCCTGGAATCAGCCATTTGCCTAAGGAGCCCCACGTCCTTTTAAAGGATAGAGAACGGTGTTGAGAAATGAAGACCTGAGACTAGATGTGCTCATTGCTCTGGAGGGACCATCGCTTCTGCCCTCTCAGGAGACAGCGAAGGGGTGTGTGTGATATGTATGTGTGTGTGTATGTGTGTATGTACTGGATTAATCTGCTCCGGCTGCCTTAACAAAATACCACAGACTGGGCGACTTAAACAGCAGAAATTTATCTTCTCACGGTTCTGGAGGCTGGAAGTCCAAGGTGCTGACAGGATTGGTTTCCAGTGAGACCTCTCTCCTTAGCCTGTAGGTGGCCGTCCTCTCATGGCCTTATCTCTGTGCACACACATCCTGGTGTCTCTCCCTCATAAAGACCCTGGTCCTATTGGATCAGGGCTCCATGCTTATGACCTCCTTTAACCGTTATTAGTTCTTTAAAGGCCCCATCTCCAAATACAGTCACAATGCGGGTCAGGGCTTCAACATAGGAATTTTGAAAGGGCACAACTCGGCCCGTAATGTCTATATATATTCACACATGCTCTGTATATACCCACACACATTGCATGTGATATATATCACACACATGCATGCTGAACCAGAATTTTCCTTTTAACGAAACCCCCAGCTCTGCACTCACACTAAGTTGAGAAGATCTGGCTAGAATAGGGATGACCGCCCTCGCTGTGGACTCCTCCAGAAATACGATTCTCTCGACCACGCTGTGCTGTGTGCACCATGGACCGCAGTGGGTTGGAAGTGCCACTCCTTCACGTGGATTTAAAGTGCAGCTAATCTTCAGAGACAGCTGAGTAGCTAAGTGCAGGAGCATCTTCTTGACACTGGCTGCCCTGAAGATCCTGTCTTCGAAAAGTCGAGTGGTCTCAAGAGCAGACCACCCCACTTTCCCCACAGCCCCTGGGAACGAAAGAGTCAGCATTACTCTTCTTTGAGTCACACATTTGCATGCTTTGGAGCTCACTCTCTATGGTAAATTCAAAATGAGTCCTGGGTGAGCCTCCCAGATAGGGTCCCAAGAGACAGAATGTTCTAGAACTTTGAGGAGTCTGGAAGGTCCCTGCCAAGAAGAGTGTGTCAGTGAGGATTCGTTTACAGACCACAGAATCGTCCTCTTTAGTTACCTTACTTATTATTATTAAGCAGTGTGCCGGATCACTGAGAGATGAGGAAGCAGATGTTAGCAAGGGTCTCCCGGGCACAACTCCCAGAACCTCGGTGAAGAGCTGCCGCCACCTCCACTGACGTCACCATGACCGGGAAGGCCGTCCCATAGGGACGCTGCTGCCACTGCCGCCCAGAGCTTTTGGAGCTTGGGACGGACCCGCACAGCACTGGGGCCAGGCTGTCCCAGAAGGACCTGCCGCTGTGTCTATGCTTCCGGAAGGGTCCTGGGGTTTTGCCTTCTGCCTCCCGAGTCTCCTGGGGGTGCCTCTGCTTGGCAGGGGCTGGGTCCCATGAAAAGCCCAACTGCCAGGGCGTCTGCCACGTCCAGCCCTATTGCTGGCTGACTGTCACAGCCAGCGGCTTCACATAGCCACGCCCCCAGCAGGCGGCACAGTGACCAGCAGGCAGTGCCACCGGGACCTGGGCTGCTTTGGACAGAAGACGCGATTTCTGTTTGTTAGTCCTTACTGCATGCTGGGGAGTGGCGGGAAATGTAAACTGTTGTCGCTCTGAGGTGTTTGGGCGTCATAGCCGGAGGTGAGGGCTGAGGCCGCTGCACGGTCCGTGGGAGTTTGTCTAACTCTGTGCCGGCTCAGCCTGGTCTCCCACCTCTGCTTCCCTCGGAGCTGCACCGGCTTGGTTGCTCTGACCAGGCTGCCGGGCTCCCAGTGCTCAGGAGCCCGCTGGGAAGGGGCTGGGAGCTGGAGAGGGCTGGGGATGCTCGGCGTGGGGAAGAGAGGGTGTCAGAGCTGCGGGGCTGAGGACCAAGGGGGCAAGAAGTCTGGCAGAGACTGCCCAGGACAGCTGGTCCCCAAGACAGCTGTCTCTGTGACGATCTCAGGGCAAAGAGCCCTCCTGGCCCTTCACATCTCCCCCTGCCTCTCCTGAAACGCTCCGCAGTTCTGAACACAAGGGGTCCGCTGTGCTTGGCCGTGGACCCGCAGTTCCTGAGTTCTGGGCTTTCTCCTGGGGGCCCTGTCCTGGGCTGAGGACAGGGGAGAGGGAAGGGAGCACCCATGTGCCAGGCATCGGGCAGGGAGGAGAAGACACTCCGGAAGAGAAGGGTGCAGCATGGCGGACGGCAGGAGCACGGAGGAGGAGCGCTTCTGCTCCCCCTGGATTTTGGATTGAGACTCAGGTACGTTGAGGTGTAATCTCAGGTTTTATTTGCAGAGGGAATCTGGACAGTTGACTAAGTGCCCCCACGGTTTCAGTGGACTCAGCTGACGTTCAGACACTGTAATTTGGGTGTAAGCCGTTCCTGCTTCTGCTTGTGGGATGAGAATCGCGCTGGCCTCTGCCCTGGTTAGATCACTCATCAGTGAACAGTTACTGCTCATAGGAAAATAAAATAGGGAAGTAAAGAGCTTTCTGACGAGCATCGAAGGCTTATCGACAGTAGCAGTGGCAACTACAGAAATATCTAGAATCTGTTGAGTGCCTGCTCTGTGTCAGGTGTTCTTTCATTATGTCATTCCACTAATCCGTGACAGCAAGGAGCCTGGTGCCATTTCCAGGTGGTCGTGGTTGGAAGTTCCTGGTCCTGCCATGTGGCGGTGGCTTCCTCTCTTCCCTTCCCGTCTGGGGCTCTGTTTATCCTGGGGGTATCCAGGCCCTGGGCCTGACCCCAGCCGTAGAGAGCTGCTGCTGCCTGGGGCCTGGCCTACCTGTACCATCCCGCTGCCCGCGAGACTCCTGTGGGCAGAGCACACACTGACTGGGACAAGGACAGAAGCTACCTGCTCTGCAGGTCTGCCGGCCGAGGTAGGGGTGTAGGAAGAGGATTTCTACCTGGCTGTGAGCTGTCCCTGCACTGGCTGCTGTGCCCAAAGCCCCGGATGTGACTGATCTGGGACTCGGGTGTCATGCAAACCACCGCTGTCCTCCCAGCATGGCCCTGGCAGGCCGCATGATCTTGGGCAAGCCCTTAACTTCGCTAGGCCTCAGTTTCTGCATTCTAGAATGGGGATAATCACACCCACCTCATGAGGTTATTGAGAGGTACACAGTAGGTGCTCAATAAGTGGTAGCTCCCTACCAAGTGCAAACTTGCAAAATGTTTTCGGGTTTTGTGGCCACTGGCTTTGCTCCCGAAGCTGCAGGAGGCGGGTTGCCCCGGGCGGAGTCGGGGATGGCCCCTGAAGCAAGGTGTGCGAGTCCCAGCCCCCATGTCCCAACTGGGCCATCCCAATAGCATGTTGGCTTTTCTGATCAGACGGCTGACCTTTGGGGCTCCTCTGCATCCTCAGGAGGTGTGGGCAGTGCCAGGACCAGGGTTTCGGCAGCAGGTATCTACTGGGGTATCTTTCCAACCCATACCGAGCGTCCCCATCTGAAGGAGCTCTGACTCCTCCCCATCTGCATGCTTACAGGGAACCCAGCCTGTCGTCACACGAGCCTCACCCAACTCTTCAGGCCGCAGCGGAGTGGAGCAGAGGCTCCCTGACTGCAGCTGGCCACCCAGTGCCTTCCAGGAACTTGGAATTGAGCACTGACTGATTCCAACACCACCCTGGCTCTTCAGCCCAGGGGCTGGCACTCAGGGGCCCCTCCCCTCCTCCCCAGCGTCTTACAGGTTCCCGAACCTATAGAGAGGGTGCAGGACCAGTTCAGTGAAGACCCGTGTGCTCCTCCCTTAACTCTGTCAATTGTTAACATTTTTATTCACCTTTGCTTTATCTCTATCTACACACTGCACACACTTTGTTGTTGTTAAACCATTTGCAAGTTAGTGATAGACATGCGACGCTTTACCCCCGAACACTCCAGCATCTATCTCTTAAGAACAAGGGCGTTCTCGTACGTAACCTCAATATAGGGATCCCGCTGCGTGAATTTAACATCGATACAATGCTATTGTCTAATGTTTAGTCTGCTGTCTAGTATTTAGTCTGCAAAGTGTTCTTTAGAGCTACTTTTGCTGTGATGCGGGAGCTGGTCATGACCGTGCTCTGTGTCGCATTTAATCCGGATTCCGCCCTCAGCTGTCCTGTCCTTTGTCTTTCGTGACACTGGTGTTCTGAAGGAGGCTGGCTCTTCAGCAGAATGCCGTCAGCCCGCGTTGCCTGATGTTTCTTCGTGATCACGCTCAGACTGTGTGCGATGGGCGGAGTGCTCCTGGTGAGTGCTCCTCCTCTGGGCCACAGCAGGAGGCCCCTGACGTCAGGGGCACAGCAGGACAACAGTGATGTCAGCTGTCCTTTACTGGTGAGGTTAAGTGTAATAATAATTCGGTTAACGTGAAATCTTCCAGATTTCACCATTTTCTGCTCCCCAAGAATCTTTCACTCGGTGGTTTCGGTGTCTTTTATTGTTTCTTGGCCTAAATTGGTTAGTTATAAAATGGCAGTTATAAAACGGCAATTTTCTGTTTATCATTTATTCTGTATTCTTCAATGGAGAAGACCTTTTCCTCCTCTAATTAAAATTTTTTAAAGTTATTGGTATGAACACCTGGATTCTTTCTTCTTCTTTGAGGGGAGCTCTGGGCCCTGGCTTTGCCCCAGAAGCGCCGGGACTCTGTTATCATCGGTGCAGCCAGGGGGGAGCATCATTTGGTGCTCATATTTTCCCAAATTTGGCCCGTAGGAGCCCCTTCAGGTGGGCTTTTAATGTCCCTTCGACACTTCCCCACGCTGTTTTAAACACCTCCTCACTTCCGGGCACAGGAAGGAGCTGCGGGCTCACCTCGCATGTTCCCTGGACGGTGGTCATTCTGTGTCACATGGAAGCACAGAGGCCGGTTCTGTCACAGGGAGGAGAGTGAGGCAGAGGTGCTCAGAGAAGCAGTGATAAAAAGTGAAGAAAGAATCCTGAGGCTTTCTGACGGCTCATCAGCCGGATTCCGGTGCCTCCCGGGCCTCCGCTTCCCAGCCTGCTGGCTCTGAGATGCCCGCCTCTGTTCGTATTGCTCCTTTTGCCTTTGCTGGTGCTGAGCCTGCAGGCTTGGTGCCCACTTCCTGTCCTGGTCCATCCAGCCTCCTTTGTTCTGGCCCAAATGACTCGCGAGGCTGGTGTTGGGGTTCTGGTTCGGATGCCCCTTGGTTCTGAGTTCCTTGGCTCCTAGTGGGTGACGTGGCCACCACGTGGGAAGGTAAGGAGCAGGCATCCTCTTGAAAGGAGGGCAGGTGTGGCAGGGAGCGGAGGATACAGCTGGCTGGTTGTGAGGAGGGGTCTCCCACGATGATGACGCACGCAGAGGAGCGTGGACAGGCAGGTGGGCTGCAGCGTGCAGAAAGAGGCTGGGCCCGGGGGCTCTCTGCCCAGGGCAAGTCTGCTGGCTGCTCCCCTGCCTTGGCGCCCTTCCTCGCTCTGTCCACCTGTCCAGCAGAACTGCCCTCCCCTCTCAGCTCCCTGCCTTTTTCTTGAGGACCAGCTCCATGATCCCCTTCTACAGGAGGACTTCCTCCCTGAGTCCCTAGCTGGGGGATCTGTCCTCTCATCTCCCACAGGTGGACATTGGTCTGCAGCTAGTGTCCAAGCTCCTGCAGGCTGAGAGCTCCTGAGGCTGCGGCCCACCGTAGGGTCAGAACAAGCTGGAGCAGGAGCAGGCGCCTGGCTAGAGGAGGGCTTGCCCAAGTCTGCACAGGGCCAGGTCTGGACCCTTTCAGTTCAAGGGCATCATCTGCACGCAGCGGGAGACCCAGAGCCCTATTTCAGATGCTTTTAAGCATTTTACGGAAAACTGTTGTCCAGGGCTACTTGTGGAATTGGTCAGATCCTCTGCATTATAGTTGGGATCCGTTACTCAGCCAATATTTGCCCTCTGAACCTCCCATTGTGGGCGAAGAATGCTTTCTTGCCCTGGTGGGGGAGGATTGGTCCTGCAACTTGTTTGACCAACAGAAGGCTAGCAGATGCGGTGCACGAAGAAGCCTTGCGTGGTTTGATTCGGCTCTTGGGCTCTGGTGATGTGCCAGGGGAAGAAAAGGCCCCCAGGAAGCTGTCAGTCCAAGAAAACAAGAGACATGTGGACAGAATTGGACACAACCTGAAGCTTGGAGTCAAATCCCGCTGCGCCAGCCAAGATCACCGACCCCCAGCTCCTTGCACACCTGTGGGGAAGAAATGGCGTGGCGTCACATGCTGTCAGAGAGCCCGCAAACCTGCAGATGCTGCGCTCGCTGACTGCCCAGAGAACAGAACCGGGGTGATGTCCTTGGATCAGTCTCCCTTCCCCATTTCACAGCTGTGAGGACCGAGGCCTGGAGAGGAGGATGCGGCATGGTGAGTCAGGTGGGCAACGGGATCGTGGCTCTTCACTGGCTGCAGGACCTGACCAGACTGTGTGAAGTCTTTGGCTTAGTCTCCAAATCTCTCAGTGGTGACAATAATACTTACAGCAGAGACGATTTGGGTGCTATGCTATCTGTGCTCAGTATGTCGCGTCGTCTGTAAGTGGCTGTGCTCCCGGGAAGCCGTGGAAGCTCGCGGGTCTGGGCCTCCCAGACTTCCTTTAGCAACTGGCAGAGAAGCCCCCAATGATCCTCTGCAGTCTGCACGGGCTCGACCACCTGAATGTGCAGTTCACCCCCAGAATGCCTCTTGCTTCCACCCTCTCCCTCAAATGGAAATAATTTTTTTCTGGGTGTAAAAATAATATACAGCATGCTCATGGCAAAAATGCAGACCGAGTCTGTAAGGAGCCACGGGCAGCTGTCTTTGTACCAACCCAGTCCAAGGGTGGGCCTTGAGCCTCCTGTGACGCTGCCATGATGTGTCCTTGACCCTGACTGTGCTGACCACTGACTTTTGCCCAGGCACGTGATCTCAGATTGGACAGGGAGCCCAGCTTCCCCTCTCAGACCCTGAGAAAGAAGGCTGCAGCCTCCAGACCCAAGGGCGCAGCGCTGTACCCTGCCGTGCGTGACCATCTCTCTTCCCAGCCAGGTTGGAGTCAGACCTGGTTTGTCCCATCACACATGGCAGGAGCCAACGGTGGGCCGGGAAGTGAGGTGGGCTCTGTGTTATGGGGAAATAGCCTGTCCTGTGTAACTCCTGATAGCACTGAAGACCTGTTCTTGGTGTCAGGGAAAATCAGTTCTCCCTTTCCCAAGGGCTCAGAGAGATTCTTTAAGCAGAAAAATGCTATAATTTGCTAAATATTTGGGACTCAATTTTCTGAGGATTAAGGGGGTCCAGTAGGACATAGTGCCATATAGTCTCCGGAAATAAGCACCTTTACCACTTACCAGCTGTGTGATGTTGGGCAAGTGACTTAACCTCTCTGTGCCTTCATTTCCTCATCGGTAGGGCACAGTAATACCTGTCTCTAAGATTGCTGAGAGGATTAAATGAGTTAATACACATAAATGGCAGTGACATTTCAGGTTAGCTGTAAAACTGAGTAAAATACAGGCAAGTATCAGAAAAAGCTGCCATTCCAGCCCCCTGCTCCACCCCCCTCTCTCTCCAGGAGGCTGTGGCCGGGGACTTGCAAGGGACACAGTGCAGAAAGCCCAAGGACCTGGGCCCGGCTGGACTTGCACTGGCCTTGAGAACCTTGGGACGTTCAGCTCTCCAAGTCTCACTTTTGCCAGTGTACGTGAACGTGATGCCCCAGCCTGCTGACTTCCTGGGGTTGTTGTGAGGAGCAGACACAGAGTCAGTTTCAAATGCTTCACACTGGAAATGTGGGTGGCAGTTTGGTTTTGGGTTGTTTTCGTTACTTTGTTTTTGTTTGTGTCCCTTACATGACAAGCATTTATGTCTTGCTCCTGTCAGCGCCCAGTGTGGGTGTGGGGAGAACTCTGCTCCACGCCTTCCTTCGGGGTCCCGCCTGGTCCTCCCATCTTGTCCCCACTCTCCTGCATCCTCCTGCATCCTCCCACATCCTCTCAGTCCTCTCCCTTCTGTACCGGGCAGAGAGAAGACGGCAGGAGGTCTTGGGGGCCAGGTCTGAAAGGGGTGCATGCTGCTTTTGCTCTCATTCCACTGGCCACAGCCAGGCACACGGCCATGCTTGAATCACCAATCCAGCCCAGCCACGTGCCAGGAAGAAGGGCAGAGCTTCGTCGTTAGTGCTCTGAGTGGATCCCGACACCTGGCACCCCTGTGCACAGCAGAGCAGAACACTGCCGGGTCCTTTTGTACCATCCTTGTGCCTTCCGGCGCTTTATTAGACAACGCTCCGCTGCTGTTCACAGGGTTTGCATGGCCAGTTTTTTCAGGAGTGGCCAGGTCCCTCTTTCTAGTCTGCCTTAGTCAGGAAGCTCTGTTGAAACCTGTCCACCGTGGGTGACCCTGCTGGTATTGGAAATGCTGGTGGCATAGCTTTCAGCATCACAGCAACACACAGCCGCCATAGCATGACAACCAACAGACAGATCTGTGGTTCCCTGGCCGGAAAACAAACCTGAGCCACAGACAGGACTCTGCCAAATGTTAACCACTAGACCACTGAGAGCAGAACGAACCTTTTTTTTTTTAACCAACAAAGAGGAAAGAAGCCCTTTCTGCAGTTTTTGCTTGAACACGAGGGGCCCAGACCATCCCTCGTCAAGTTTACGTGGCTGCCAGCAGGACCTCCAGGAGGAGGAGGGAAACCAACGCTTAGCAAGGCGCCCCCATCCTGCCAGGCGCTGGGCCAGCACTGCCCGTGAGAACAGTGTCTGAACCCCAGGCGCCCTGCTCCCAGGCCCAGGCCCCTCCCTGTCCACCCCACAGCACAGAGGATGTGGAATGGACCCAGACCACAGGCACCCAGGGGCTGCCTGCACCACCTCAGCTCAGGTCCCCTGCAGGCAGCTCCTCCTGTGCGGCTCCAGCCTAACCCTGGCAGCCCTGACCATGACACAGGCAGCGAAAGAGATGGGGAGACTGACCCGAGACAGCCCCTGTCTGAGGATCACATCTTCCCCAGGTGACTGCCAGGACGGCACTCACCCTCCCAAGAGAGTGATCCTCTGCAAACACACCCGCACGTTGTGTTCCAGGCGCTGCTCCAGTTACACATGTTAATTCATTGAGTCTCCCATCAACCTTATAAAATCGGTACGACTATTATCCCTATCTGTGGAGGCAGAAAAATGGCCCACTGAAGATGCCCACGCCCCAACTCCTGGGCCTGTGAATATGTTACCTTACGTGAAGGGGGATTCTGCAGAAGTGATTAAATGAAGGACCGTGAGATGGAGATGGAGAGATCATCCTGGAGGATGGGGTGGGCCCAAAGGAATCCCAGGGTCCTCGAAAGGTGGGGGAGGGAGGCAGAGAGATTGGGAGATGCCACGATGCTGCCTCTGAAGATGAAGGGGCCACTGGAAGTAGGCAACCTCTAGAAGCTGAAAAGGTGAGGAATCAGATTCCTCCAGCCTCCGGAAGGGAACGCAGCCCTGCTGACACCTTGATTTTAGTCCAGTGAGACCCACGTCGGATTTCTGACCTCCAGAACTGAAGGATAATATGTATGTGTTCTTTTAAGCTGCTCAGTGTGTGGTCAGCACACACAGCAACAGGACACACCCATCTTACAGATGGGGAAATGGAGGCACAAAGGGTTCCAGCAACCTGCCCCAGGTTACACAGCTGCTGAGAGTCAGGAGCAGGATTCGAACCCAGGCAGTCAGGGCTCCTGACCCCAGTTCAGGGCTCCCCCTCAAGGGGCCCTGAGAGGGAATCCCACCATTGCCGGTTATATGGCCTTGGGCAAGTCACGCCATCCTCTTGATCTCTTCTGTAAAACCAGCCCCCAGAGACCCCGTAAAGGTTGTGGGGGCTCAGAGATACTGGACGCCGGGTGACACATGCGGGACGGCACCAGGGCATGGTGCCAGGTGGACTGGCGGGCCCCCTCTCAGCTCCCACACCCACCTGGGGCCGCCGCTGGGCCCTCCTCCTCCTAGACGGGCTGCAGCTCATCTTCCAGCTTCTTCTTCCGGACACCTTCCACAAAGAAGAAGTCCATGCCGATGAGGGTTTTCCCCAGGGGTGTGTCCACCCTGCTGCCCACAGCCTGGTTCGTGGAATTGGGGACCGTGTCCGAAAAGAGAGGCACGTACTCCGGCAACTTCACAGCCTCCTTCCTATTGCCCTGAGGAGAGGGGACAGTCCCGTCACACGCTGTGGGGACACCAGGAGAGGCCTGCACGCTCGCCAGTGCCCCGGGCCCTTAGCCTGGAAAGAACTGAGCAGGGAGCGATGCTCTGCAGGCAGCGTTCTCCGGGTGCCCGATTCCAGGTCCCGGTTTGGGCCAGGGACCCCCAGAAGAGCGATGCGACTCTGCGGCCACTGTGGACTTCTCCTCCTCATCCCCAAGGCTCCCGACCCAGGACGCTTCCCGGACCCCTTGACTTTGACGCTTGACCTCCAGTGACCGAGGGAGGGACTGGGTCTTAGCCCTCTCTCTAACCCCATGACGTTGCATGTGGTGGGCGTGCCACGGGGTTTGTCATTTGGTGAATTTTTACTTGAAGTCGAGCATACACATGGAAAGGACACAAATTGGAACTGTGTAGCCCAACAAACTTCCAAACAGGAAATAGAATATGAGGAGCCCCCAGATGTCCCCTCAGTCACAGCCTCTGCCCCCAAGCGACCTGGTCTTGACCTGTAACACTGTGGGTTAGTCTTGCGCTGTTTTCAACTTTATCTTAATGGGATCACGTCTCCTCTGTCTGGTTTCTTTCTGTCAAGAACATGCTTGCGAGAATCACCCATTTTTGGTGTGGTTTGCAGTTCCTTCCTGTTCTGTGCTGTACTGTATTCCCCGGTGTGACCTGTCACCCACAAGTGATTCATCTCGTCTGCCCTGATGGTATTTGGGTTGTTTCCACTTTGGGGCTTTATAAGGATCCTGTGCTGCTCTGAACATTCGTGTACGTGCTTTCTGGCGACTTCTGTAACTGAAGGAGGAATGAGTGAGTAAATGGAGGGATTTAGAACAATCTGATGGGCGGACAAAACCCTTCAGCCGTCCCGGCCTCTGTCTATGGCTAGCTTTGCGCTTGAATCGAAGCGGCAGGGCCAGTGGGTAATGAGATCCGGCTTCCACCTGGGAAAGTCTGGGCCCAGGTGTCCCCACCGTTTGGGTGTGATGCAGCTTTCCGTGGTCAGGTTGCTAGTACACAGCCCTGGGCAGGGCGAGACTTTGCAATCTGGAAGCTCGGACCAAGAGCTCAGCATAGGATTTCAGGTCCCACGAGCTAAATTTTCTATTGCAGGGCAGACGGCAACCCAGCAAGGCCAGCAATGCAGATGTTAAAACTTCACTAAACCTTGCAAGGTCCATGTCAGTGTGGCCGCCCCCTGGTTGACTTGCTACACTGCTCATTTTCCAGGTTAGTTCCTTGACCAGTCCTACAGCCAGATTCATTCTCCTGCTTCGCTCATTCATCCAACACAAACTGAGTATTAACTGTTTTATTGGGTGCTGGGGGGTGGGTGCAGAGATGAAGCCATCTTTATCCCTTCCCTTCAGGAGCCCACAGCTTGGTGAAGTTGATCATTGCCATAGTACATGCTGTTCCAAAGGAATGGATGTGTGTGTAAGGAACAGAGCGATCTGGTCAAGCCTGCTCAGGACGGGGAGGGTTCTCAGAAAAGGCACTTGAGTGGGGTCCTGAAGGATGAATAAGAGTCCATCAGGCTGACAAGATGGGAAGGGCATTTCAGGCAGGGGAACAGCATGCAGAGGCATGGATAAGAGAGAGGGTGGGTTGGTCAGTGTGGGCTGAGCAAGGAGGGAGGGGAGGGAGGCAGGGTTAGCTCACCAGATTCACTGTGAGCTGCTATGAAAAATGCAGATTTATTGAAGGATTTTAAGCAGGGGAGAGACACAGTCAGTTTTGCGGTTTAGGAAAATGACTCTGGTAGGATGGATTAGAGGTGGCGATATCAAAGGCAGGAATTAATTCACAAAGTATGTTCATCCAAACTTTCTCCACATGGGGCACAGCACACATCACTGTGCACTGCTGACATCCTCATACTGGGGAAAAATTTCAGCAGCAGACGCCTATCATTTCCAGTTTGTTTGTCTTAATAAAATCAAGAAATACTTGGAAACATTAATTTCTAAATGCTCTACATAAGTATTTTCCTTCCCCCAGACTCCAAGTCTCTTGAAACAAGACTGTGTTTTGTCTCTGTACATTTCAGCATCAAGCACACGGTAGATCCTCAATAAATGTTAGATGAATGAATAAATGTTCCCAGTGCAAGTATGTCTGATAGGAAGGTGGTTGGTCTTACCATGGGATCATAGTCTTTCAGGAAACTCCAATTCTGAGCCCTGGAAAGGAAAACACGTGAGCAGTATGAGATCTTCCTGTGACATTTTTACAAATGACTTTCACTGTGTCAAGTGAATAAGTTGATGCCACTGATGCATTTATTATGTCTTGGAGGAACTAAAATAATTAAGTGAAACAAATGCCAAATGTCAACCAAGTATTTATGGCGTATCCTATAAACTGAACAAACATTTCAACAATCAATGACTTTTCCCAGAGTGGAAACAATGATGCCAGAGGATTAGCAGAGGGCGTAAGGAAGCCAGAGGAAGCAGTCTCACGGCGTGCCTCTGCATTGTCTGAGGCCGCTGGGGGAGTGCTCAAGTATTTTGTGAAGAAAAACCAGTTCCCACTTCCCCATGCCTTTGGAATCTTCCAGTGTTCGGCAGAGGAAGGTGGGGAGGGCGAGGGAAAGAGAGTGACGATGAGGAGAGTTAGCTGCATTACCTGCGCTGGTAATTTGATTTTGTTTTAATCTATTTTTACTTTTTTAAAGATTGGCACCTGAGATAAAACCTGTTGCCAATCTTTTTTTTTTTTTCCCTCCTCCCCAAAGCCCCCCAGTACATAGTTGTATATTCTAGTTGTGGGTCCTTCTGATTGTGCTACGTGGAATGCCACCTCAGCATGGCATGATGAGCGGTGCAGTGTCCGTACCCGGGATCCGAACCGGCAAAACCCTGGACGGCCAAAGCGGAGCGCTGGAACTTGACCACTCGGCCACGGGGCCGGCACCTTAATCTGTTTTTAAAAAGTCAAATAATTCCATAAGACATAATAAAAACAGGCTTCTCTGCTCCGACCCTCACATCCCCTGGGCCTACAGCCTCGAGTGCATTTCCAGTCTTTTAGCTGTTTCTCCACACTTTTCGCCTCCATGCTCTGAAATAATAACCCCCTACTGCCATTTATTGAGCTTTTGAAAATGTAAACTTATTGATTGACTTTCTGTTACAAGAGATTATGTTCGCATTCCTGCCCCTTTCTCCTCCTCTCATTTCTCCCCAAGTAATTGTATTATAGGTTTTGGTTAAATTGATATTTATTGATTATATCCTTATGATTATTATAAATACTGTTTGCTGATGAACTAAGTAGTATGATATGACCCCAGGTCCTTTCCTGTACATCTTAGAATTGTTTTCTAGTGTTAATAGTTACATTTCCTCCTCATTTTCTTAGGTTTCTATGTACTGATCATTGATTCTAAATTCTCCAGCAAAATTGTAAGAGCCCTCTCAATATTATTTTCCAGCAATCAAATGCATCAGGCAAGCAATAACTTCTTTTAAGTTTTTTCTCTAGAGGATGCCCTCTGGGAGCCTGGGTCCTCTGCTCCCAGGAGGCAGCCACCCGCCAGGACCAAGGCACGGCTGCCTTCCGTCACCGCCCGCCTGGGATTGCCCTCCTCCTGGATCCCATGTCTTCCTCTCTAGTTTACTCTCTTGTTTTGTGGAGTACATCCTCCAGGATCTGTGGACTCATGCATTTCTTTGGTTCTGGAAAATTCTCAGACATTTTCTCTTTAAATGTTTCACCTCCCTCTTCTCTCCTCGGGGAGCTCTCTTTGAAGGTGTGTTGGACTTTCTTGCTCTGTGCTCTAGGTTCTAGCTCTTCTTTCACGTTTTCTATCTCCTTGTTTTTCTGAGTATTTTCTACTAACCTATCTTGAGTTTATGAACTCTCACTTCAGTTGTGTTTTGTATTTCAACTTCATATATTTTTATTTCCAGAAGTTCTTTTTGGCTCTTTTTCAAGTTGCCGAATTGTTCCACTGACAGACGTTGAACTGAGCCGCCTGTCTTCAGCCTGTCTCCCGAGATGTCGGTGCCTCCACACCCGGGCCTTCCTGGGAGCTCCGGTGCCCTCTTCCTCCAGCCCCTCGCAGTTCTTATGCTTCACCTTCCCCACTCGGCAAGCCCATCTCTTTCCATCTTCCAAAATGTCTTGGCGCCTCCCACCCACCATCGCCTCCTTTGCTGTCATGAGGGAGCCAAGTTTCAACAGCTTTGATTTTGAATTAACAGAAGGCAGGGACCTTGATCTCAGAGCCATGCTAAGCCTTAGCGAGAGCCAGTGAGGGATGAGGAAAGAGCACTGGGATCCCGTCCTTGCTCTGCTGCCTGCTTGCTGTGTGGCCCTGAGTGAGGTCGCTGTATTCTTGGCCTCTCAGTTTCTCTGTCTATAAAACAGGAGGAGGTCGGTTTCTCGAGCATCAGAGATGTGGTTGGTCTGAATTGAACTGTGCTGTAAGTGGAAAATATAAACCGGATTTCAAAGACTTAGTACAAAGAAGAATGTCAAACATCTCTTTAATAATTTTTGTATATTGACAGCATGTTGAAATGATAATATTTTGGATATATAGGATTAAATAAAATCTGTTATTAAAATGGAAGTAACCAGTTTCTTGTTTCATTTTTTCAGTTGGACAGCTAGGAGTTGGCAGACTGCGCCCGTGGCTCGGGTTGCACTTCTGTTGGGCAGCTCTGCTCTAGGTTTCCCTAAGCCCTTTCCTCCTGGTTTTTGTGACTCCTCGCTCTCGGGGCTCCCTCCTCTGGCTGCTTTTCCTTAGGCTCCTGGTTGCTTTTCTGCCCATCTCGTTGTTGCAAGTTCTGGCCGACCTCCTCGTCTCTTCTGATGCCGTACCTTCTTCGGGGGAAAGCTCATGCCCGTCTCCAGTGTGAGCGCTCACCTTTTTCCTTTTTAAAATAAGATGTGGTTCTCATATCATAAGACTCACCCTTTTAAAGTGTACAGGTCAGTGGTTTCCAGTATATTCACCAAGTTGAGCGGCCATCGCCGCTATCTGATTCTAGAACATTTTCATCACCCCATAAAGAAAGCCTGTGTCCATCAGCAGTCACTCCCTGTCCCTCTCACCCTCGACTCCCCAAGTCTGGGGAGAGCTCCCTCTCACGTCTCCGTCTCTGTGGGTTTTCAGTGCCCAACTCTTGACTCACAGTCAACTGCCTTCTGGGCGACTCTATCTGGATGTGGTTCGGGCATGTTGAACTCGACCAGAACTCAGCGTTTTCATCCCCTGTCGGCCCCCCTATCAGTTATCCAAGCTGGCGATCTCTGTCAGCCTCACCCTCCTCTCACCTCTACCGAGTGTCACGAGTTCTTACTGCTCTCATAAATACCTATTCTGTTCAGTTTTCCCTGCACCAGACAGCCCTGTCTTTGTAAATGTCCCCTCCACTCCAACACACACACTCACACTCACTCACACTCACACACACTCACACACACTCTCCCACACACACACCCCCTGCTCCAATCTAACAGCAGTTCTCATAATTCTACCACTAACACATTCCTTGGATTCTTCTGCCTTCCACAGACCGTCCCCTCACTGACTGCCTCAGCCACACGGACATTCTTTGTTTTGCTTTACTTTTAAAACGCACCAAACTCTTTCTTGGCCCCTTCTCATCTTTCAGGTCTCAGTGTGAATGTCACCTCCTCAGAGAGGCCTCGTAAGCACCCTGTAAAAAAAGAGGCCCCCACTCTCTCCATTTGTTTCCTTCACAACACCAGTCACGCTTGGCACTCTTTGTTGGTACCCTGTGCTCATTGTCCTCTGCTTGCTTTCTGACTGCCCTGTCCTGAGAGTGATGGCTCCGTGGAGCCAGGCCCAGGCCGGTCTCGTCCCCCACTGCAGCCCGACAGAACGGCTCTCCTGGGAATTTTTGGATTGAATGAATGCATGAAGGGAACTCCTTTCCCTGGGTCAGATGGCCAGCATCTGCCTCTGGACCGCCGCCACAGTGTCCTGGCTGCCCCCTGCAGCCTATCCTGTCACTTGGCTGGAGGGATTAATCCAACGGGCTGATGGGATCCCAGAATGAAGGCAATGGGGCTGCACTCCCTCCCCCTCTCTAGGCCCAGGACCGGCCACTTCTGGGCTCTCTCTCACCTCCCCATGGACGTGGTCTCTGCCTCTTGGCTGTGGCACTGTTCCATCAATGCCCTTTGCCTGGCTTACTCCTTCTCACCCCCAGGCCTCCTCCCAGTCAGGCTGGGGGACAGGGGAGGGCAGGCCGGGGCACTCACCAGCGCCGCTGACTCCGCCTCTCGGCCTCCAGGAGCTCCCTCCACAGCTGGTCCTGCTGCACGTTGTCTGCTCCCAGGGGTTCCCGCTTGGCCTCCAGGTCCTGGGGGGCCTGGCGGCCACCAGCAAGACCCCTTCCTGCCACGGGGCCACCGCGGGCAGTGGGGGAGACTGAGGCTGGTGGCCTGATGGAGGGCAGTCGGTACCCAGCTGATGTGGTTCTCTGGAGCCCAGGGGTCGGGCGGCTCCCCATGGGTACACAAGTGTGTGTGTGTGCGTGCGTGTGTGTGTGTGTGAGAGAGAGAGCCCCCTGCCTGACCTCAGACCTCTCCCTGGACAACCCCCTCCTAACCCCAGGAGGGCCTGTGCAGGGGTTCCCCTCACTGCCCCTCTGGACCCAGAGCTCAGAGTGGCTGATGGGGAGCAGGCCCTCCAGGCTGGGCGAGCACTGGAGCCCAGCTGTGAGCTGTGTTCTGTTTCGTCTTTTGAGTTTCTGCCTGTGTTGACAGTTGCCCTGGGAACGGGGCAGCTCCCCAGTGTGCCCAGGAAGGGGCGGGCCCATGTGTTTGTGTGTGTGTGTGTGTGTGTGTGTGTGTGTGCAGCACATCTGAGCCCCATGGTGGGGTGGACAGAGTTCCTGGGTCTGGGCCATGCCCAGCTCAGCTGCCCCTCAGCTCTGCCTCCTGCTGCACTGGCTGGAGACCTCCATACAGCAAGGGGGAGGCAGGGAGGGGCAGTCAGACAAGGCCTGGGTGCCCAGTCAGGACGCTGGGGTTTGGACCCAACTTCCTAATCATGAATCATCACCGCGTGACCTTAGGCAGCGCCTGCCTCTTTCGGGGCGTGTGGAGGGGCAGTAATACTCCTGTTCTGCCCTCTGTGGATGCCACACGAGGTGGTGTGTGTGAGCCGTCGAGCAGAGACTGGCGTGATGCTTCTGCCGCTCTGTTGCAATGATGGAAGAGGTTACGAGAACGCACCAGGCGAGGGAGAATTAGCGACCCTGCACGATTAATATCTGTTCTATCTGCGCAGACCTGGAGGGTTTACAAAGCACTATCCTTTATCTTGCTGGACCAGCCCCACCATCCAAGGCAAGGATTCCCAACCCCGTTCTCCAGGGGAGGAAACTGAGGCTTCGCCAACAGGATTGACTGCTCAAAGTCACTCAGTTCTAAACTGAAGAGCCTGCCTTGAGTTTTGATCCTCTGAAGGAAACAGTGAGAACCTGAGCTTGGAGATTCATGCTCTGAACCTTCAGCCCTGATTCTGCTGGAAGCCATGCAGCCCGAGTTCGCTCCATGGCCCAGGCCTCTCCTGGTGTAGCTCAGCTGACCCCTCAGAGCCTCTCTCACAGTTTCTGCCCTGGGTGCTCCATGCTTCTGGGTCTCTCGGCTTCCTCTTAGCTCCTGTGAGTGTTGACAGAGTCACAGTCCTTCCATGAAACTCTTCTGTGGGCTGGTTGAGCTGAGCAGGATGGTGCCTCCTCTGCGTAGCTGGGAAACAGACACACAGACAACTAAATGCAGACCAGGCCGTGCTCACAGAGGTGTGCACAAGGTGCCCAGTTGTGGGGACAAGTCCAGCCAGCACACCGAGCTTGCGCTGTGTGCCAGACCTGGGCCTCTCTTCTAGATTCTGCTTTCATGAAAGAGGTATCAAGCAGGTGAGTCTTCACAGCTGGAAAGGATTTCCCAGGTGGAGAAACTGGAGCAAGTGCAAAACCTTGGTTGCAAGAGAAAGCCTGGTATTTGGGAAGTTGGAGGAAGATGGAAGGACCGAGGCTGGAGGGTGGGCTGGGCCGCAGGACTGTTTAGAGCTGTGTCCCGGAGCTTGCGCACAGAGGGGAGACACTGCTGACTCTGAGCACACAGGTGTCTGCAGAGCAACAATCATCAGCAAGGGGACAAAAAGCAGGTGAAGTGACCATTGCCACGCTCCAGGTAGAGGAGGCAATGAAGCCCACACTGGGCATGGGCAGAGGGCCCAAGATGATAGAGGGATGGAGAGAGACGTAACAAAGCAAATCTAATAGTGCTAACTGAGGAATCTAAGTGATGGGTGTATGGGGACGCACTGTACCATTCTTTCAACTCTTCTATGAGTTTGAAAATTTTCAAAATAAAAAGTTGGGGGTAAAAAAGATTTCACCTGCCAGTCCGGCTTGAACGCATTCTCTTTCCGCAGGTCACTGTCACGGAAGAGCCCCCAGATTCACCCTGGGCAGGTCTCCCTGCGCCGGGAGGACCCCCCTCGCCCACCTCTCAGGCCGGCCTTGCCTGGGAACCAGGACACTGGGTCCTTGAGCAAGTCATTGCCCCTTCCACACCCCACATTCTGTGACCTAACTAGATATAAGACTTTCCAGCAGAGAACAAAAATCCTTGGATTTGGAGGTTGCTGGTGTTGAATTTTAACGATTTTTTCTCAACCCCAAGAAAGCCTTTAAAGTAGGTGCTGGTAGAACCTTCCAGCCTGGGCTCAGGTGACAGGCACAGCCTCAATGGAGCCGGTGGGAGCATGACTGCATCTCTTTTTGCCTGATTGTATTATGGATTGTGTTGTGGGGATAGATATTATGTCTCATGGGGGAACGTTTCCCCTGCCTGATTGTGAGACAGCACATAAATCTGCCCTTCAGATGATGTTAATTAAACACACCAAAGGGAAGTCAATAGGGGTGCCCAAGCCCACACTGTATGAGATAAAAACGAGAGGCTAATATCAGGTGCTAAGAAAAAAGATAACAAAAGCTTCCCCCTCAAGGTAAATTGGTCTACGGTTAAATTGTACTCTTAGAAAGAGGGCCTTTATCAAATGCTTTGTGCAGACTGTTAAAGATGTGGTACATTATCCTAAAGGTTTAAACAATAGCTGTGAAGTCTTTGTGTATGTGTCTATATTATTTTATATGTGTGATATTTTACTTCCACATGGTATAATTTCTAAAAGAGAAAAGAGCTCTATTTTTTTTAAAGATTGGCCCTGAGCTAACATCTGTTGCCAATCTTTTTTCTTCTTCTTCTTCTCCCCAAAGCCCCCTAGTCGTGTATTCTAGTTTAGGTCCTTGTAGTGCTGCTGTGTGGGGTGCCACCTCAGCATGGTTTGATGAGCGGTGCTAGGTCCATGCCCAGGATCGAACTGCCGAAACCCTGGGCTGCTGGAGTGTGCAAACTTAACCACTCAGCCACGGGCCAGCCCCGAAAAGAGCTCTATTTATTTGGCTTAAAGTAAGAGCTTATAGAAATTGTTTCTAAATGTAATAGAAACTAACCCAAATGTCTTTCAAGTTATCATAATATAAGATAATCTTTGGTAAACAAAAACTTGTTTAAGTTTGTTAGTTTGATCAAAGGAACATGTCCAAAATCTCTTTGGTAACCTGAAACTTTGAAGTTTTGCTAGGTTAAGTTAAACAATGAAAAATTCATTGAATATCTAGATCATTTATAAAAAAGATAAAATATTAGACATTAACTACTAAATATAGATTTATCTAATTTTGGCTTCTTATTACAGAGAAACTAAAAGATATTTGGATCTATTGGTAAACATGTCTTGTGTTTTATTAAAAGATTGTACTATGAAGTAGCAAGTTTCTAGAAATTATAAAAAGTGTTTGTAAATTTGCCACGCCAAAGAATGTTAATGTAAAAGACAGTTCATAATTGCTTACTTTTTAGGTTTCACTAAAAATTGAGGTCTGTGAAGGTTAAGAATTCTAATTAATAAATGTGATTACAGCTACTAAAATTTAATAAGGAAAACATCTTTGTATTCAAGGAAAGTAAGATGTATGTTTTAGTAAAAGATATAAGAAATATATTTTTGTTTGTTAAGAAGGTTATAGAAGGGGAAGCAGAGGACTGTCACCATGCCACCAGCTGTGTTTCTACTACCATCACAGTCAAGTGTTTTGACTTATCTTCCACACTAATGAAACTCATAGGGGGACTCACTTGAGTCAGTTCGTTATCTCTGGCTCACAGAGTTCCTCTGTTGAGTGTTTTGCTGCTTGGAAAATGGGAGGAACAGCTATCAGTGAATCCCACTAAAGAAAGCAGAGAAAAGAGGGAGCGACATCAGCATCAGGGCAGGGTGAGTGTTCCTCTTAAATCCTCCCCTCTAAGATACAATGAAAAGGAGACTCGTACACCAACAGAGGGCATTCACACAACACAAAAGACATCTGAGAGACCCACACAGCCATACATCTGAAGGTGGAGGTGCTGGGCCCCCTGGAGGAAGTGGAAGGAAGTAAGAAGAACCTTTTCTTCCTCCTAAATGGCAGTGACCCTGGGACTGTGTGTGGCTCTGAGAGGAGAGGGAGGCAGGACAGCCCTCCCCAGGAACACCATTGCTTTCCGAGTTCCCTCAAAGCCCATGGGAAAACCCCACACAGAGAGGACTAATCTATTGCAGGGGTATCTTCATCAAGCTAGCACCCTAGGAGAGCAGATAATGAGGGCCCAGTGAGAATGCCCCCAGAAACACTCAGGTGAAAGAAAGCACCCCTCCCCCTGCCCAGTGCTCCAGCTCAGTGGTTGGCCAGAGTGAACACAGAAAAGCAGACAGTGGCTGGGGTGATCATGCAGTGAAAGAAAGCACCCCTCCTCCCACCCGGTGCTCCAGTTCAGCAGTCAGCCAGAGCACCACACAGTCAGAAAAGCTGTCAGCACCTGGAGATAGGGAGCTGCAGATCATGGTGGGTTCAGAATACACAGCTCCTGACCCCCACTCAGTGGCAGCAGGTGGAAGCTGTGACCAGATGCTATCACTATGTGGAGGCACAAGTCCACACCATAAAGCAGTATGAAAAAAATATATTAAATCTCAAGACCAGAAAGAAAATGACAAGTACCCAGAAATCAATGCTGAAGGCACAGAAATTTATAATCTAAATGACAGAGAATTCAAAATCACTATCAAAAAACCTCAACAAGTTACAAGAAAATACAGAAAGACAGTTAATGAAATCAGGAACTTCTTCACAAAAGAGATTAAAACTATAAAGAAGAACTAATCAGACCTGCTGGAGATGAAAAAGACAATGGATGAGATAAAGAAAAATCTGGATTCCCTGAACAATACAGCTGATATTATGGAGGACTGCATTGGCAATTTAGAGGACAGAAATGTAGAAATGCTTCAGATGGAGGAGGACTAAAGAGGAGGACTAAAAATGGAGGATTAAAAAGAAATGAAGAAATCTCTGAGAAATATCTGACTCAATTAGGAACCACAACATAAGGGTTATAGGTATTCCAGAGGGAGAAGAGATGGAGAATGGAGCAGAAAGCTTGTTCAAAGAAATAATAGCTGAGAACTTCCCAAACCTGGGGAAGGAGCTGGAAATACATGAACAAAGCCAATAGGTCTCCTAAACATATCAATGTGAAAAGACCTTCTCCAAGGCATATAGTAGTAAAGCTGGCAAAAGTCAGTGGCAATGAAAAATATTAAGGGCAGCAAGGCAGAAGAAAATAACTTACAAAG